ACTATATAACTATAACTAAAACTAAATCTATTCCTATGAATAACATGGGTATCTATGTATATCTATATAACTATAACTAAAACTAAATCTATTCCTATGAATAACATGGGTATCTATGTATATCTATGTATATCTATGTATATCTACATATCTATATAACTAGAACTAGAACTAAATCTATTCCTACGAATAATATGGGTATCTATGTATATCTATATAACTAGAACTAAAACTAAAACTAAATCTATTCCTACGAATAACATGGATATCTATGTATATCTAGGTATATCTATATAACTATATAACTAGAACTAAAACTAAATCTATTCCTATGAATAACATGGGTATCTATGTATATATATATAACTATAACTAAAACTAAATCTATTCCTATGAATAACATGAGTATCTATGTATATCTATGTATATCTATATAACTATAACTAGAACTAAATCTATTCCGATATATCTATTTATTTTATAAGTCATATATGACTGTTGAGGATGCATTTATATTATAAGTCGAATTAGGCAACTCATGAATATTTTTATATTTCTTATGTGTCCATTATTAACATGTGTCATAAATTGTTGTAGTGTAAAATATTTAATCAAAACTAAACTAATGTATACAATGATAATCAGATTTATTAAACCTATGGAACGATCAATATGTATTTTATTTTTCATTTTATTCATGAAAGTATTTTGAGGATAATGAGGAAAAACAGATCACTAAGAAAAAAAGTTTTTGCTTTTATAGATATGACGTTGATTGGTGAAATCGACGTTGTTGTCAATCAAGAGTTAATGATGAGTTAGGATTTATTAATATTTGTAAAGGATGACATTTTAATGAAATTAGAATTGTATATTGTCGATAGATCATTCTTCCATTTGAAGAAATACTTTTGGACATGAATAGATAATTATTATTTGTTAGTGAATGGCTGTGGGTAAAATCAATTTTAATTGAATATCATGATGATTAGAAGATAATTCTTTAGATTTGTTGATATGATGATGATGACGCTGAATGAGATTCTTGATAACGAAGATCGTATAGTTTTTTATATTGGTGTTACATAAAGAGGTAAAGATTGGCATAAATGAAAGTAAGGACTTGAGCATGTGAGTGTGTTCTACACTTATGAATTTAAGTCCGTATTGCACTATATTTTATCTTTCGGTAATAAGTCTTCATCTCTCAGAATAGTTGAAAATCGAGAAGATGTTTAAGACTGGAGCACGATCGGACGTATCTCCCATCCAATAATATCTGAAAAGTATAAACAGATCCATTGCTTTTTTAATGATAACATCGTAAACTTAAAAAGATTACAACTAGTTCATCTTCAACGTTTTTTCCGATCTTTACGAAACTATTCATATTATCTTTCAACTTTTTGAAAAACAAAATACAGTTTATCAAGAATAATTCTCACTTAAATATATAGGGCAATATGGAATTTATTGTAGAAACGAAAGTTTTCGTTATCTATCTAAATCATAGGTGAACAGCTTTGATCGATATTCTTATACTATCTCGCCAAGTGAAGAATGGTGAAATATTTTAGAATTATAAAGTACTATTTGTTGAACTATCAGTTCATGTAGTAGATATCGACATGATTCAACTATATAGTAGATAAATTTATATTTTTTTGTGCATATCTCAAAAACTGAATAGGCTAAAATCATCGGATTTTCGTCAGATTATAATCTATATAGTCTCTAGTATACTAATAAAACATTTCAGATGAATCCATTGATCCTTTTAGTTTTTATTTATGATACAATCACAGTATGCCGTTTTTCATTCTTTCAAAAGTTTGTTATAAGTTGAAATTTTCGTTATAATAGATGATTTAATAGAACAGCTCATGTTCTACATGATTCCCATAATATTTACCTAGTTTTATTGTTGAATGCATCATTAGTAAGAGCAGTAGAAATTTCGTCAGATATTCTATTTCAATAGAAATTTCATGTGAAAAAATTGTTTTACTCATCTCCTATGTATACATCAATCATACGCAGACGTTCTTATATTGTCTTATTCATGCATTATACAAGGTAAAAGCTGTTTTAACAGTATGAATTTGTAGGGAACCTTTTCCGTAGGAAACTCTTATATTTGAAATCAAAACAAATTATATCATCTAAATTATGTACCTTTCTTACACTATGAATATCAAGAGTAATAAGCTTGCCATAGTCCTATGTAGAGAGAGGCTAAAATTTAGAACAACACGCTATGTTAAGTTTGGTTTAATACATTCTTGTTTAGTGAGATACATATCTATTCTGTGCTGGGACTGCAGTAAGCTGTTTTTTTCCACTCATACGATTTATAGTGTAACATAGATAAAGAGCCTAAGATATATAATCCGTTTTGATTTCGAATAGTTATATAAGTGTGATACGAAAAAGAGTCCCTACAAATCCACGTTGTTAAAATAACTCTTATCTTCTTCGATGCTTAAATACGCCAGTATTAGATCGTCTGTCGAGTAAGTAAAAGAAGAAAATTCACAAAAGACTACACAAATGCGGTGCGAAGCGATTTCAATTTTCTGCAATGAAGTTTTAATTAACATAAGAATGAAAAATGATTTCACCGAGAGTCAATTCTGTTCTGTCGAAATTTTTCATTATTTCTCCTGTTCACAACAGTTGACTGAAGACTAGTTCACCACTTTTAATTATTTTAGGTAAAAGATGAAGGTAAAACCATCAAAATCACCGTTTTGTGGAATTTACTGGAGATGCACGAAAACTCATATTGAAGGTTCAAAAACCTTTGTATCATCTCGAGACAATGACCTCCTTAACATAGTTCGAAAGAAATTTCTAACGACTCGCCGTTCTCTAGAACGTTGCGACACAAACTACGGATTTTGTTACAGCCAAAAAACACGCAAAGTGTGGAGATCGAATGCGTACGCGACCAACTACATAAATGCTGTGCGTCGCACTGCATCAAATATCATAATGGCTAAAGAACCGTGATATATCTCTCAGAGTTACACTTTATAGATGTATAAAGAAGCGCGACAAACCATTACCTAATGATGATCAATTTTTAGTATACTTAGCAGATTCCTAAGAAGTTAGTTCGCCGATTAAAACATGATCATAAAAGAAATAGTGAATAGAAAACATTACGAGCTACACAAATTAATAGAACAAGTCCGTCTCGATTATTAACAACTGATATTAAAATTCGATTGAATTCCATTATTTTCCATAGTATAATTTTTGTAACCCATGAAATTAATTTTAATTATATTCTATACGTGCTTTTCTTTTTTTCTTCCTCGACTTCATGTTCAAAAATGATCCTGATTGTAATAAATATTCAGTTTAAATTAAAAGCATCTCTCAAAGGAAGCTCACATGAAAGCTTAGTTTCAAACAACATTACTAGCGGAGAGCAATCTTCCATCGTAAATAGTTTTGATTTTATTTCTTTCCGATGATGCTCATTACTATAATTATCACGTGTTCAGCGTATGATTTACTTTCATTATATCTATAACTCATGCAAGTGTTCAAATGCTTGTCAATGAAAAGAAAGCCATGCACTATGGACAAATCTTGAGGTCTACGCAAGTCAAGAAGGCAAAAAAAAGTTTGATTCAGATATTGATTTGTTTAAAAGATCAAAGAAAACAAGAAAATATACAACGGACAAGAAATTGTACAGCTGCATGATCGCTAATTTCGTATAATAAGCAATCATTTCTTTCTTACATAAATTGAACATAGTAAAATATAGGAAAAGACAAATGAACAATAAATTATTTTGTGAAACAGAGGATTTAACAAAATCATACAAATGATTCATCAGCAGAGAATAGAAGATAAATTAGATAAGTCATTAAAATAACGCATGGGCCGTAATGAATGGTTGCACTTTGCATTTGAGTTTTTCATCATTACAATCTACAATACAAAGCTTCTTTTATAAGTACATCTTTAGTTTTCAAAATAGAAAAATTTCTGTGAAATTAATTTTCGATGCTGTGAACAAGATCGTTTTTTTTGGTGCATGACAAATTCCTTTTCTTATTTAATCAATTAATGAATCAGAGTTCTTAACTCTATTCCACTGCACATTATTAGTTATAGTGTTCGACACATAATAATCCAGAACATTGAAATCGGAACTATATGGTGATCATCTGCGATTACTTAGGAAATGCATGGACTTCTCTTCACACCATACTAATGATTCCTGATTTGTATGTAGTGTGGCGTTATCTTATTAATAGATGAAATCATTAACTACTGCATTGAGTGAGTACTTACGTCATTACCTAGGGGTAAACCTGTAGAGAAAAACTTACATGAACATACACAAAGTAACTCAAGTACTCATACTGGCCAGTTGTACTCGCTCAATGAATATTTTCACTAGGGTGAAATAGACTTTGTTGAACTAAATGGATAATGTGGAAGTATGATCTATCAAAAACAAACAAAATTATTGGAATACAAATGATTTCTTTTGTGTCTTTTTTTTTACGGCGAAGGTTATGTTCGTTTGATACGTTGTGCAGAAGTCTTTATTGTTATACATGTAATAAAGAGTACGCACAATGTGTAGCGTTATGACCTGACATTGACTGAGTTTGTTATAAAAAAAGCAAGAATAAATTTTTGCATAGATTTTTTTTCGAAGAACGACAAAAAGAAATAAAACAAAGAACATAAAAAATTCTATTTTGCATATAAAGCTTTTTTCTTACTTGAGAGTATCAAGAAGAAAGATTGTTTTTGAAAGATAAAAAAAAGAAAAAATACCATTAACTTTTCTTTTAAAACGCGTTCTGTTTTCAACAATAAACACAAAAAAGAACTTTCTTTTTTGTTGATTCTTTGCCAGTGTTGATAGTAAAAAGGTTGTGTTTTTTTTTCAGAGAATTGTCAATTGTGTTAGCAAAGAAAAACGTCTATTCTTTCGTAAGAAAAAAAGTATAATATAGATAGTAAAGATGGCATCAAATACAATACAAAAATCATTTACAGATGTTGAAGATGATCAAGCTGGCTATTATCATATAGTATGGCTTGATGAACACGTGAACAATTTTTATAATCAACGAAAATTAAAAAAATTTGGTGAAATTGATCGAACAATAAAATCATTTACAAATACAGAAGAATTTATTGCTTATATACGACAACAAGATGCTAAGCAGACAATGGTTTACATTATTTTTATTGTATCTGGTGCTCTTAGTAAAGTAATACCTACCATAGAAAAGTACAAATGTATTCTTGCAATTTTTATTTTTTGTACGAATATTGACGATTATGAACATCTGAAATATGATAAGCTTCGAGCAATTTGTACAGATGCTAATGAATTAATAAATTGTATTGAACTGCTTATAGCTAGAAATAATAGAACAATTGATTTTAGTATAATGCCTGATCAATCATCTACAAATTCAAGTAAATTAGTATTATAGATATAATATATATATATATGAATTTCCGATATGTTATAAATTATTCATTATTATCTGTTTTTTTTTATATTACATAGATTCAATACCATCAAAAGATCAATATCCAATTCGAAATTTAACAGACGATCAAGCAAGTTTTCTTTGGTTTAATCAAATGCATAAGTTTATGATTACATTAGAAAATGATGACGAAACAAAAGCTAAAGCAGAAATGATTGAATATAGTCGTAAACACTATAAAGAACATAGTGGCATGTTAAATAAAATAAATGAATTTAATAATCAATCATTAATTGAAGATCAACAAAATGCTATATTTTGTTATACAGATAATTCATTTATATATGAATGTACGAATACAGTCTTACGAAAAGAAAACATTTCACAAGTTTATTCTTGTCGTTACATTATTAAGTTACTTTGTCGTCAATTGAAAGAACAACATGAACAATTTATTAACGAATATAATAGAAAATCAAAAAAAAAATCTTTACTTCGTCTCTATCGTGGTCAATCATTGAAATTAGAATATATTCATCTTCTTGGAACAAATATTAATAGGTTAATATCTCTTAATGGATTCGTATCAACAACAAAGGATAAAGATGTTGCAATGAATTTTATTCGACTTCATAAGCAAAAAGATTTGGAACCTGTTCTAATGAAAATTGATATTGATATGACAAGTGAACATAGTGTAGCATTTGCTGATATTAGTAATATTAGTAAATTTTCAGAGGAACACGAAGTTCTTTTCTCTATCGGACCTATATTTCGTGTTAAATCGGTCCAATTTGATGATAAACAACAAATATATATAATTCATCTTTCATTAAGTCAACATGATCAATTAACTGTTATTAAATATATTGAACAAACGTATGCAAATAATGTGAATTCCGATGATCTATCAATTCTCTTCGGAAAATTACTTTTTGATATGGGAAAATGTGAATCGGCATTTACATATTTCTCAGATGCACTTAAACGTTTATCGGATAATAATAATCGAATTCGAGCAACTTATTTGAATAATATTGGTATATGTTATAATGAAATGGGAGATAGAAATGAAGCATTAAAATGTTATAAAAAAGCACTTGACATTTATGAACAGACAAATAATATTCGTGGTATCGGTGCATGTCAACATAATGTAATTAATTCGTTTCGATCTAATTTTCTTTTAAATTTTCTTGGTTTTTTTTTATAGATAGCAAGTATCTATTATGTTCGAAGAGACTATAATAAAGCTAGTGGCTTGGCGTTGAAAGCGCTTAACATTCGTCAAAATAGTGTAGAACAAGCTTCAACTCATGATCTTCTTGGTTGTATTTATTTAACTTCATTTAATACCGATGCTGCGAAGGATCATTTTGAACAAGCATTAATCCTACGATTAAGATCATTGAAAGAAATTAATCCATATCATCCTGATATTGGTGTAAGTTATCATAATCTTGGTAAAGTCAATGAAAAACAATTCAAATACAATGAAGCTAAAGAAAATTATTCACGAGCTGCTGAAATTTATAGACATAATTTTCCACAAACACATCCATGGATCATACAAATTAAGGAATGTTTAGAACGAATTCGAAAACAATAGGCTACGTCCAAATTGCGAACAAAAATTAAGCCAATTAAGAAAAAAGTGTTCGCAATTTGGAACACAGAAAATAACGTTGATCTTATTTTTATTGCGTTTCCAAATTGCGAACACTTTGATTAATTAGTGATTGCAATAGCTGACTATGAGTTCAATTTTATTAATAATATAAATATAGAAGTTTGAGAATAAGAATAGTATCATAATTTAAAGTATGGTTACAAATTTTACTTGGTCAACAACTGTAAGAGTTGAAAAGGCTATCTTATATAATAATCATTTATATGGGTTGAGACGTGAAAACAAGAACGGTTCATTTGTGTATATATGTACTTTCAAATCTTGTTCTCGTACTATAACTTTAAAAGACAATACAATTATCAAATCAAATATATATTCAAGATAATGATTTTCATGCTTGTCAAAAAGCTCTAAGATCTATTTCTCATCGTTATACAGATCTTATACAAGATGCCGAAGATAGTAGTGATGAGGAATAGGTTCTTTTGTTGTATTTCTGTTGTTAATAAATTTTTTTCTAATTAAAACTGTATTACTTAATTAGTAAAAGTATTCGCAATTTGGAAACGCAATAAAAATAAGATCAACGTTATTTTCTATGTTCCAAATTGCGAACACTTTTTTCTTAATTGGCTTAATTTTTGTTCGCAATTTGGAAGCTACGAAACAATAGAAATGTAAAATCATGTTTTCTTTTTGTTATTGTTTTGTATATAGTCTATGATTAATATGATTTTTCTCATGTTAATCAAAGTTTCTTTGATAAATATATCTTAGCAATAAAAAACATATGTTGTTAACTTTAATTTTTGAATCAATTACGAATTCAAAAAATAGTTGTTCGTTAGATGAGTATTTCTTTCATTATTTTAGCGATATATTCTTTTACATATATCAAAAGTTGTTAGACTAGATTAATATTCTGCACGAACACGACTTTTCGCCATCAGATTCGGATCGGAACTAATCGACATCTAGCAGATACTTTTACAATCATAGTATGATTTTTAAACTTTTAGTGGCTTCGTAACGATGACCCATGTTGACCTTTTCAATGATTTATTTTCTTTTCCATGTATTGAATTACTTCATCATATGATTCATTATTATCTGTAGATGAATTTTCATTAAAAACCGAATTCCTTTAGTAATACAATATTATTTTCCACTTTTGTTACCTGTTCTCAAATGCTTCGAGTGCCGGGTAATCGAACGTGATGCAGGACATTAGGGTGTGGGTGTGGGGATGTGCGTAGGATGTGGGTGTCATCCAGGAAAAGGCTCACACCCACTCCCTCAATATGCATGTCTTTTTGTATGTTATCATACGGTCAATACGTGTTATGAAATCTTGGATACTTTTTAATAAAATTTACTTTATCGATTAGATAAATCAGTGATTTTAATATCATACATTTTCAACATCATCATTTTGTCGATGATTGTTCGAATAAAGTAATAACGGTTTCATAGAAAACACACCTATGCTGATCTAAATATAATTTTCTATCAAAATCGTATGCATATCAATTTTATCATAATGCAAAATTTTTCTTCTCTTTCCGCATTCAATTAAGCAAGTCTTATCTACTAACAAAGTTTATATGACTGATTACTTTTACAATTGTTTGATAATGCCACGCAAAGTTTTTCTTACTGTAATATTTCTTTAAATTGACCAGATTTTTTGCTATAATATGAAGAGTTTAACGAATATTTTAAAAAAGATCAAATTGTATCTGGAAGAATTTTACTAGGATTTTGTACCTATGGCGAATATATTTGATTGAAACGATTTTCTAGAAGATTTCAAAGTGATCAAATGACATTTAGATAGATCTTCTTTTTTTTAGAGTCTAGTGAATTCGCGCTCTAACGAATTCATTTACTCGAGAAACATGTGTTTTTCTTAATATATTGTTTCATTGTAAATAAAAGATTAGCATATTTGACGCATCATTTTATTCAAAAGGAATAATTAGAAAGAATAAATGCAATTAAAATGATTAAAGGAAAAAGCAGAGTGATGTTCATTATTATTGTACATACAATAAGGGAAAATGCTTTATTATTAACTAATGAAGACGCATCATCAGATGCTCTTCTTATGTTGTATATCTATCCAGGTATCTATCTAGTTCGATTTGTCAACTGTTGCCTATTGGATTGTCCAATCAGTAACAGATAATGATAAATGAGGTGACATAGAAATGGATGACGATTCATCTATACCAAAATTTTCAAAGAAAATATCAATTGTAGCGGAATGTCTATTGAAATACAAAGAATGCATTCATAGCTAATATATAAAATATTTTTATATTACTTTGAATATAAGTCGATTACTGTCATAATTCCGAAGCAACCAATAGGTAAGGGGACAATCGAAATAAAGAAATCGATAAAAAAGTAAAGAACTAAATCGAAGCGAAGAAAACTGTAAAAATTAATCTTTGAGAAGAGTTTTACCAAGAGATACTGTAGGTTGCTATAATAAATCAATATTTTACTTTTTTATTTTAAAACTCATTAAAACATATTTTTTCCAAGTTTTGCGAAGTGATTTCAGCAGATTAGATCCTATATGAAGGGACTTTGATATTTTATCATTCAATGAACATATGATGTGCTCTGCTTGCGGAATAAATTCATTTCATATGTTTCATAGTCAAATGTATTGACCTCTTTCATAATTGACACATTTAATAAGTCATCAAAAATATTGCCAATAAGATTATAGATATTGCTCAGAAATCTTACGAATGCTATTTGCTTATTTTCTTCGTCTTTGTAGAAAATTATAAAAAGCTAATCATCCTATTTGCTCAATTTATTCAGTAAACGTCACTCTCAGTAAATCAGAAAATTACAATCTCAACATCTCGTTCATCTCAATGTTAGGTTTCATTATATAAAAATCTGCTATTGTCAGTACGAGTTATGTCGCAATATCAACAGAACAGAACACATACATTTTAATTGAGACTTTATCATTAGAAATTTTAATTGAGACTTTATCATTAGAAATTTTAATTGAGACTTTATCATTAGAAATTATTATTGAACCATAGAAATAGAAATGAATAAAATAATCGAAACAATTTTTCAATGTACATATTTATTACATAATAACGGGTGGCCCATAAATAATTATACTGTTAGTATTTTCGAAATTTCTACTCTATTATCGCTTTGACTAAAACACTTTTTTTATCAAAAGATAGCGCTTGAAATTTTCTATAAAACTATATATAACTAGATCCTAAAACTGTTTTAGATATATTTGAAAAAAGATGAAAAATAAAGACATACAAAAAGCTGGAAAAAATAACGGGATGGACATAATGAATGGCCACACTTTGCATCCCATTTTTTCACCACTTACTTTGTCCTATTAGAAAAACAAAATATACCAAAAGGTGCAGCGTGAAAAGCTCTACAATTTACATAAGGTCATCTATTTTATAGTTGCACTTTTTGTTTTCAGAACGGACAAAGTTTTGAGCGATCAAATTTCGACCGTGCGAAAATGATGTTGTTTTTTGGTACAAGATGACTTCGTTTTTTTATTTCCTCTTTTTATAATTTGTTCCTTGTAAATTGTAGAGCTTTTCACGCTGCATCTTTTAGTATATTTTGTTTTTAAGAAAACATATCAGGTAATAAGAAGATGAAATAAGAAAAAATGACTTCATCTTGTACCAAAAAAACAATATTATTTTTGCGCGGTCGAAATGTGATCGTTCAAAACTTTGTCCATTTTGAAAACAAAAAGTGCAACTATAAAATAAGTGGCCTTGTGTAAATTGTAGAGCTTTTCACGCTGCATCTTTTGGTATATTTGTTTTTTAATAGGGTGAGGTAATGAAAACACTATATGCAAAGCGCGACCTTTCATTATGTCCATCCCGTTATTTTTTTCCAGCTTTTTGTATGTCTTTATTTTTCATCTTTTTCCAAACATATCTAAAACAGTTTTAGGAACTAGTTATATATGGTTTTGTAGAGAATTTCAAGCGCTATATTTTGATAAAAAAAATGTGTTTTAGTCAAAGCGATAATAGAGTAGAAATTTCGAAAATACTAACAGTATAATTATTTATAGGCCACCCGTTATAAATTATTTTGACTTCCCAGGCAATATACCATAAATTTCTAACAGTCAAAGTTTGTGAGTTCTACACTATGGCTCTTGAAGAGTACACACTAAAAAGTTTTTCTTAGCTCAATCGGATTCAACATGCAACTTTTTTCTGTGAAATAGAAAGTAGTTGTAACATATGATTTAATATGTTTATTTTAATACAATAGAAAAAAAAAATAATTTAAAAAATGTTATGCATCTTTCGACATTCAAATAAAAATTTTTCTTCCTCCTTATTTTCCGTACGTGTTATTATAAAATGATTTGATCCAAAAAAACAAATATTTGTTGGTAACAATCCGTTACATTTTAATTCACGCATACGTCGTTGATCATCATTCTCTTGAGCATCAATAACAAAGATTCGTTGTTGAAGATATTCATTTTGTTCATCTGTTACAAATAGAAGCCATTGTTGAGTATCTTATTTAACAAAAAAAAAAAAAAATCTTTCAATAAATAAAATATATTTTAAATCATCAAATCCTACCATAAACTGGCGATATAGATAAAATGTTATATTGTTTTGTATCTATTCGAAAAAGACATTTCATTGCACGTGAAATATCACAAATAAGAATTTTATCTGTAAATAAAGCATCAATAGCAACTAAATGATTACTTATTCGAATACGAAATATTTCCATTGTTTCTTTCATATGAATTTCATCTACATATAAATCAGTTTTCCAACAACGTTGTATCATTTGATTATTTGAATAATGTTCAATAACATCACCTAATGATGTACCAAGATTATGAACAAGAAGAATTGATTCATCACAAGTACATATATCTTTAAAAAAACCAAAACCAATATCTATATAACGTGTTATACGTTTTGTTGTACAATTAAGTTTAAGTAATTGTTTTGATGTAGCAAGAAGAAATCCATTGACATAAGATGACCATATTAATTGATTAAGATCACCATAATTTATATGATCATAATTAATATCACATAGATGTTCGCCAATATTATTAAATAATTGAAATATTGAACGAGATGATTTATAAATAATTAAATATTGTGAAGAAGTAATAAAATGTGTTATATCAATTGGATCATAATCAAGAGTAAAAACTATTTTTGATAATAATAAAAATTGATCTAAATTAGGTCGTATTGTAATTTGTGAATTAAAAAGTAATGAATTAAAATTAGGTTTAATAAGATGAATAGTTGGATTTAATTTTGAAATAATTAATTCTAGATGAGAAGATTCAAGTGTTTTTAAAGATTGTTTTAAATGATTAAAAATCTATAAAGAAAAAAAAAACATATATAGTTTAATTAAGTGTAATTATTTATTGATCTAACCTCTTTTAAACTCTTTTCATCGTTATTATCATTATTTAACATAGTTTTTTTAATTCTATTAAATTCTTGATCATATTGTTCATATGTTAAATAAATTTCTTTTTTCATCATTTCAACATTTTCAATCATTGTTTTTTGCCATTGATTTAATTGTTGAAATAATTCAAAACGATTATCATTAAATCGAAGTGTTTTCAAATGTGCTCGACAATTCTCAATAGCAGATATCAAATATTTATGTTCATTATCAATAGCTATTTGATGTTCAACAAGATGTTGTAAACAAAATGTTAATGGACAATGAGCACACGAAACACTACTAGCTGGTTCAATACAATGTACATGAGAACAAATTAATTCTGTTGATGGACGAAAACGTTTTAAAGTAGACATCTAAAAAGACAAATTAATCTTATTAAGAAATTTATTTTATAAAAGAGATTACTACATTAAAACATATTTCGGAATGATATTTTAAATATGTATTTATATATAAGAAATTCTTTGAAGATCTATCGAAATTCTAATTGAACAAAAGAAAACAATTTTATCCAATCATATCTGTCTATAGATACAAACGATCATTCATATACTGCATTTATGTATTGTTTGTTCATCGTATGATTGTTGATCATGTACAATTAATTATATTAATTGACATAATCAAAATTCAAAGTTAGGTTAATACTTCTCATTGAAATTCTTTTTAATCAAATGTGCTAAGAAAACAAAATGTTATTATCAATAAAAGTAAAATATCAAAATAATTAATTGTCTATTTTGTAGATTGTAAAGTAAAGCTCATTAGATTGTTTCCAGGTCCGAAAGTTTTGAATGCGAGGGATTCTTATCGTTTGAGAAATATATAGGGTGCGCTAGTCACCAAATACAAAAAAGTATCTCGTATCTTCAGGACGACTATCTAATTCTGATTAGAAAATTTCATTGAGATTATCAAAGTATGGTTCGATCGGGTTCAGATCAAAAAATTTTGAACTCGATTAGCTCTGTTGTAAAGTCCTCAGTCGAAATATCTATCATCTCTCTCTCTTTTAGTGTCTATTAGTCTGCTATGGTAGATAATTTACTTGTTTTTTATTTTCCCTATCTGTTGACAATCTGCAGAAAAACAATGGAATTAAAAAAACAAATTGCTTAAAATGTTTGTCTGTAAAATTTTGTTTTACATATCCTTGTAGTTCTATAAAGCTTTTTCGTAGACACTATTTGACAACATAACAGGTATGTATTCTACATTATGTTCATCAATAAACTTAATGAAAGTCGTGTGCAATCACTAAATAATTATGCTTTTCAGAATTATTTTTTTTTATTTGGATTCAACCTCTCAAAGTGAGTATTGGGTATGAGTGCCTTTTTAAATGAATGATCGGCAGTCATATGCTCAGATCTTCGTCCTCAGATGGTCGCCGAATCTGACATTTGTCTCATTACTTATGCACCATAAGTTATCAACTCTAGGCAATGCTATTCTAACGAAAGCATAGAACCATCTTCATTGCCAGTTATATCAACACAAAATCATTTCTCGAATCCGTTTGCCATTGTTTTTGACATCATCAATCAATATGGTTTCTTGTTGTACAACACCTTTTTTTTTAATGTGCAAACAAACACTTCTCACACATAATGCATGTTTTGTTGTAAAAAGCTGAACACAAATGGAATAAAGAAAGAAAAAACACAAGGAATACGTGTCACACACCCGCTACGAGCAATAACGACAACCAACCTTACATTTGCAGCTCATTTCAGATGATGATTCATTTAACACAATCTGCAGATGTTGCTAAAATTTTTCGTTTTGTTGACAATGAATACAATCCAAGACTATTTCCACCAGTCAATGACTATTTAACACATGAACTCCTAAGTCTTGAACAATGTTTAGAACCGATTGTGGCTCGAATCGATCGGTTAGGTCAAATCATTCAATTAGCTAAAGACAAATGTCATTTCCCTTGTGAACACGGTCTCACGCGAGATGAATCAGCTGCTATCTTTCTTTATACAATAGAATGGGATGGTCGTACTCTCTATCATGTAATCAATCGAGATCTTCGTTCAAAAGAGCAGTCAGTTTCGAAGTCTTGGCTTCCCTATCTGAAATTATTCTATACTGCTTTGAAGAAATTGCCCAATGTTCAAATGAATGTGTGGCGAAGTATTCATGAAGATATGATCAAGGAACTAAACGAAAATGATGAATTTATCTGGTGGAGTATTACTTCATGTTCATCGTCGATTGATGTTATTAAAGATTTTATTGAAGTCAATTCAAGATTATTAATAATTGAAACCACAACTGGAAAAGATATATCAAACTATTCGAATTCTTCAGATCAACATGAGGTTATTCTTTGTCCAGGTACTCGACTATGTTTCGTGAAAAATGTTCAAGATCTTATGTCTTCGGTAGACGTACCGTATTTGAAAGAATTAACTGATGAAAATGAACGAAAAATATTGCCTCCTGTTAGAACGAATGATTTAACAAACGTTTCACTACCGCAACGGTATAACAAATGGTCAATGTTATTATTGATACACTTTATTGTACTGATATTAGCACTATTTCTTTTCACTCCTACAGCAAAACCATTGACTACTTTTGTATTATCAAATAGTACTACACCATTTTCACAAGCCATGCAGCGTATATTTTCATTGATAGATGGTCTACGTCAAGTAATGATTACTGGCAGCCCATCGATAATTCATGTCCATGTCGATGAAGTTGGAAATAGATATGAGGGAGAATGGAAAGATGGTAAGAAGCACGGCAAAGGTAAGATGGATTATGCGAATGGTTACAAATATATTGGCGATTGGGTTGAAGACGTAGCCACAGGTGAAGGTATTTTCATCTGGACCAATGGTGACCAATACGAGGGACAATATCAAAACGGTCAACGACATGGAAAAGGTTTGTATACTTATGCAAACGGTGACAAGTACATGGGCGATTGGTTCGAAGACAAGAAATCAGGCCAGGGCGTTTTCATTTGGGGACCAACCAGTGACTGGACCAACAACAAATATGAAGGAGAATTTCACAATGATCAGATGCACGGACAAGGCACATACTCTTTTGCAAATGGTGACACATACATAGGCGGTTGGGTCAATAATCAACAGGAAGGTCAAGGTATCTTTAATTTAGCTAGTGGTGATCGATTTGAGATGAACTGTTCATAAATCTAATATCAACTAGTTTATAACGTCTAACTCTTCAATTGAATTTCGTTGATAGGATTCTGAAACATGTGATGGGAAGTTTCAAAGCTGGTAAAATGCATGGAGAAGGTTCTTATTACTTTAAAAATGGCAATAAGTTTACAGGGAACTGGATTGACGGCGAGAGAACAATCGATCATGGGGCTATGACTTGGGCGTCGAGAGATCCACCCATGAAAAAATCCAAAGAACATGAGAAGAAAGAAACAGAACAAATGTCTGATGCAAACAGTGAAATTCAAGAAGAGAAAAAGACTAATGAAACTGCTGCTCTTTAATTATGGTTTTTCTTTTTGTTGTTGAATTTCTCTTCGGCACTTCCGCTTGATTTGCACTTGATCAGCTATACTCTTATGAATCTGCTTTTGCTTTATTTTGTACTATATCAGAATGAATATCTCCTGATAAAAATCGAAAAACACTTGAAATATTTGTTAGATGTTGAGTGTTTTTGAAAGTTGACTATTAAATTATCAATCACAACCAATGAAATATAACAATGCTTCTTTTGTGAGAGAAATTTAGCATAGCACATGTACAGTTAGATAGATGATTTCTTTTTCGTTTGATATAGTTTCCTTTGTCCTGCAATAAACATTTACCATCTCTTTATTATTCGATTCTCTTCGCACAGAAAAAATGGCAGAACATTTCATTTTCTTTGAATTGTGATTGAACGTGTGTACATGAGTAGTCATAATTCCAGTACTTCTAAACATGAAAAAGGGATATTCAATTACCTTTGAACAATTTGAATATCACGATGCCAGATATAATTGGGTGGGCGTGGGTGCAGATATACCTCAGCCCACACACACACCCGCTGGAAAGATATGCAGAAAACTAAAAATTAGTCGTTATGAGAGGTCTATCAAATAACTACAAATTTTTCATCCCTGCTATTTCTAAAAATAATTCAGAAAAATTCCTATGAATTTTATGTTACTTGTATCTCTGAGTATGGGCAGATGTAGATGTTCTTTTATTCACAACCAAACTCAAACTTACATCAATCCTTTTCTTCATCGGATCCATATGTTCTTTCCTACGAACGAATTCTAGCTTGTTTTGTTCAGCCAGTCGAATCGTTTTCCTTGTTCTACAGCATTGAAAAGATTGCTGAAGATCACTGTATTAATTTGACAATCGCCATTATATTTCAGATTCACTGACAGTATGAAGGATTGAACCCTAATCAAATTCTGACAACAATTAAATACATGGATTTTTCTTGGCTTTGTACGTATCTGCGTATTTCAAGAAGAGAATAACGTTGACTAAACAGTGGATCATCGATCCGTTTCAGGTCATTTATTTGATGTGCCAGAAACATGTTTTACAAGAACATTGTCGAAGTGATTCTAAAGAATCCCATAGTGTTCAGCTTTTTTTGCCAGCATTATCTCCCGTGTTGTATTGCGAATAGTATCTGCAAGGCAGACAGCTGCATAGAATTGAATATGGACTCCCTCATTGAAATAGAAAAAATCCTCGAGTAGAGTCTTGAGGAAGTTCAATGAAGAAATGATTCTTTTTGTCATTTTGAGCCTTGAACTGCAGTAGGCTTTGATTTTTGTTGGTGAACAAACTACTGGGCGAAGAACTCTAAAGCTTACGAGGGTTAAATATTGTGCGTCAGATGTGACGTAGAAGCAACGAAGGGAAAACGTACTTCTATACTTCAGAAGTACGTTTTTTTCTGCCTTGATCAAAATCTATAGTTTATTCCTCTAAATCATTAAGAGAAGAGTGATTCCGAGAAAATTTAAACTTGTTTCTGTACACTGTTAGTATAGCATTGAATGAATCTACAATGAAATTAATCCTCTTTACGCTTGATGGTAGTTTTAGAAGAACCATTGATAAAATAATCACACAAATTCAAGATTGATGTCGTCGATATGCTAATGGTATGGATAGAATCATTAGACGCATTACACTTCACGCGGAGTAGTTTGATCAGTTCAGTGACTATTGGAAGAAACGAGAGAGTAGAACAATTGTGAAACTCGTACCTTTTCGCTCTACAACGACAGTTTGGAATAGGCAAGACTAGTATCGTTCTTTTTAATATGACTAATATAATAAAAGAAATGAAGAAGATATGAAAAAATATTTTTAACAGTACATATATTTTAGACACAATTTTTTTTTATAAACATCTCTTTAGTCACTAAGTAATCCTATAATAGATAAAAGCATTTTATTGATAATAAATATTTTGTTCCACTTCTAATGTGCTAAAGTTTATAAAAATAAAGTATGCATGATATACATCATTCTTGCTTGTATCTTCCAATGATCGCTGTAGAGCTCATTCAACAGTTTGCTATCGCTTCTCTGCCAAGCTATAAGGAAACTTGTGAAACGAATTTGATCTACCAGCAAACTTTTTCGTCCATATATATATATATTACATAAGACATCTCCAAGAAAAATTATATTTTCCCTAATTTATTGATTTTGTACACCATGTTTTTTTAGAGACAAGATAAATACAACGAAATAATATTTTTTTAAGCCACTGATAACTCATAAAGTTCTCTACAACCAAAATAGAGTTAGTTGTGGACCATATATGGTTCGATGGTGTTGACTTTTGCAGTCAGCATGAAAAATTTCATAATAGTTTTAGACATACTATAAAAACATAAGTGAAGATTAACAAAGTTCAAGATGATTTTAAATATATTAGAACGCAGATCGCTAGAATATAATCAAAACTTCTTTTGTGAAACACCATCGAAGAGAACTGTTGAAGTATAAGGATAGAAATTCGGCCTTCTCATAGATACCTTAGTAACGTCTCTTCTCTTCACCGAAACAGAAATAGTCTCACGATCAGAGTCCATTGTAATATATTGCGATCAATACCTTTCATTATCAACATGTATGCACAGTAGGTAGGAATTTATAAACTGAAACATATATAAATTAATCTTCTCTTTTACAATAAACATAGGCAACATACTGAATAATTCTTTATTATACTAATTTTTCCACACAAAAAGAAGTTTTTGTAGTCTTCGATGGAATACTTTCCAGACAATGCATAGACCGTACAATCTCGAATACAACACTATCTAAACGTATACTAAATAATAAAGTAACTTCTAAATAAATTTAAGAACGAATCACATCATAATTTAGATGAAATTACTCAAAATAATAATATTGCTAAAATCAACTCATTTTTATCAATACTAAAAAGTTTACATTGTAGGCTATTGAAATTCATTGGAAAAGAAAATATTCATTAGATAAAATAAAATAATTTCTATATGACCGACGGATTATGTTGTTTTTATTCGTCGTTCATTAATATTTTCTTATAATATATTCTTTCTTTCTTTTTTTTTTTCACGTGCGCTTAATTTCAAAACAAACAAAAAAAAGCGTACAACAGAAAAACAAGTAATTCCACACGTTTAACGGTACGATTTTTGATATTTGGCACGTGCACCTGGACCACCAAATTTCTTGGGTTCACATCGTCGTGGATCAGAAACAAGTAATGTACGATCATATTGTACGAGTATATCGCGTATTTGTTTTTTTGTTGCTTCATCAACAAATTTTTGATTATAAGCAACAAGTGATTTAGCTAATGCTTGTCGTATAGCATAAATTTGTGCAATACGACCACCACCTTTTACTCGTATACGAATATCAACATTAGCAAATTTATCACGACCAAGAAGATAGACTGGTTCTTCAAGTTTAAAACGAAGTACTTGTGGTTCCACAAGATGAAGTGGTCGACCATTAACACGGATTGAACCGTGACCTTGAATTAAAAATTATTTCAAATAGATGAAATATAACGAAAAAAAAATATATGTATTATTTTAGTTTTTACCTTGTTGACAGACAGCAACGGCTGTGGCTGTTTTTTTTCGACCGAATGTTTGTACACGTTGTTTTTGTACTTTCGACATGATTTTTATATTCGAAAAATCTAAAAAAAGATATCGTCAATTTGAAATAAAATCGATTAGAAAATGCAAATATCTTTCAATGTTTATAGAATATGAATTGAATGTATAGAAGAAAAAAAAAGAAATAAACAAAACTTTTCTTGATGAGTCATTTATTTGGTTAGATTGGTTATTTAATTTCATTTAATAATTTAAGTTTATTTTAAAGAAAAAAACTAATTTTAATAAATTAAATATAAAATTTATTCTTATTTTTTATTTTGTTTTATTTAAATAATAAAAAATATCTAATGACATCTTTTATTTATAATTCTATTGGTCGAAAAAAGTCTTTCAAAAGAAACATTTCAACTAGAAATTCATTTTACATAAAAAAAAACTTTTCACGTTCAATTCAACTATGCTTAATATATCACCAAACAGTAGTTTTGTGCGTGATACATCAGGTATAACAACTGATCGTTTGAAAACTTTACTTAATCAAACATCTCAACGTCAATTAATTAATCGTGATAAACAATTAACACAAAAACGAATATTATTTAGTGTAATTTTTCTATGTCTTGTTCAAGTAATTGTGTATGTTTCTAGTTTAATAATGGCGCTATTCGGTTTAGCAAATGTTTCATTGTTTGATATAATGAGATTAAAATTGGTATTCTTCTTTATTACAAAAAGCGTTCTAAATTTGTTTTTCATAATTTCAGAAGATGGAACATCTTTTGTTTTTTTGATAGTGAAGAATACCAACTTTAATGTTTTCATAGTATCTGCTAAAACGAATGCTAATAATAAAGTATATAGTATTTAAATTTCTTTTTATTTCTAGTCCAGACAGTTTTTTGCATTTGAATGAAAAAACAGTGAATGCAAGTAAGAAAGAAAAATATATCATTTAAAAATTTACAATATTATCTTTATTTTAGAAAGATTAATTATTGTTACTTGTATACTTTATACTATTCGTGTATTCATACATTATATACATATATCATTAGCTAGATACGTATTTTTAACAAAAAATGAATTAAAACAAATTGGTCTATTTACACCAGGTAATAAAAGAAATTTTTCTTTTGTTATAAAATTTTATTTTTTATTGTTTTGTAGAATCAGGCTTTATTGTATGTGATGCTCCTCAAGTAGCTGAAGCTAGTTTTAATCGTCATAAATATCTTAATAGATTTTTATGTTGGATTTCACCACAATTTTTATATACATCAATTCTTGGTCAACAAAAACCAATAAATACAACTCTTCCATTACGTGTTCTTACAGCTACTCTTGCTGATCGTATAGCATCTTTAATAAATATTCGTCCAATAATTTCACCAACTAAATTTGATAAACAGGTTAAAATAAAATCAAATAATTGAAATTAATAAAACAAATTTTCTTGATGATTTTAGAAAGATTTATATGATCGTACTAGTTCAAATATTGCTACTCCTGATCCATTAGCAACATTACGAAATAGTGTCTATTGGCAATCATCTCCAGGTATCATTGAGGAATTAAAATGTAAAACATGATGTATCTGTTGTTGCTAATCAGAGAGATTTTTGTTTGTCATTTTGCTATACTACAAGGCACTACTACTACTTTTTTCCCCATTGCTTCAGACAGTTTCATTATTCTTGTTGTAATGTTAACTCAATTTAATTCAGTGCTGTGGTTGTAAAACCTTCAGAAAAGATTCATCTTACTAAAAACCAGCATTTGCTCTTCATCAGACATTAGACAATATCTCAGTTATTTTAGAGGATGCTTGCGATTAGGACTTATTGTTGCATACATGTACTCAATATTTTAACGCATAGCAGCATTTCATGGGGAGTAATTATTTTTTGTCCTAGACTGTATTATGGCAAGACATTGATATATGGTCTGTGAACGTATACCAACACTGTCTATGGGCTGAGGATCGAAGTTTTTATTACTCGTTTTAGATCATGTTTCACAAAATATGACAATACGAAAAAAAAAATTCTTTATTGTTTTTTTCTTTTGAATAGAATCACCTTCAACAAATTTAAGTGATTGTTCACGTTATTTAAATGGATTTGACCGTGAAGCATTAGATCTATCAAATACAAGTCATAGTCGAAGTTTAAATGAATGTAAGTTAATTATTTATTAAATAATTAATATACTAAATTTATCAATTCTATTTTAAAGCTTTTGGTCGAAGTCCAATAATTTCAACTAATGCTATGAATGATACTGTAGCTGAACTTCGATCTCGTCCATATCAAATGGCAAATGTTCGTTCAGCAACAAGTCAACATGGATCAACAGTAGTTGATGATGATGCACGTAAATCTGATTATAAAAGAATTATTAGTAATAGTAATACTGGATCTGGTAGTAATCAAACAGGTGGTACACAAAATACAGTTGTAAGTATAAAATTAAATATTTCTTTCGATTGACTCTTTTTTTATTTAATCTAGAAATGGCGTAAAGTACGTATTGATGGACCACAATTATTTGTTTTACGTGAAAATATGCGAAAAGTAAATTATAATTAAATATTTAATTTTTAAAAATTAATCTATTATTTATATAGTGGCTAACAAAAACAATTCTTATTCCATTAACACGTGAAATTGAAAATATTAATCAATCATTAATTGCTCTTGGTCATACAGATATTATCATTGGAAGTAAATTGCTTTGTGAAGCTATAGTGCTCGGTTCTATTTTTCGAATTAAACTTTTTTTTTTTATTATTACTTTATAAAAATGCACTTCTATAAATAGATGATTATTTTTTCGAGATATTAAATTTAATTATTAAATTTAGAAACAACAACAAATGAAATAAAATCATTTATTCGTTCATGTACAAATACAACATTAGTTTCACAATTAAATGAAATATTACCTAATTTTGAAATTCATTCAAATCAAGAATATATTCTTTCACGAATACAAAGTAAATAAAAGAAAAATTTTTTATTTAATAAAAAAATTCCTTTTTTTTTCTTCTAGTCTTAGCTCGTACATATATGTCGGATTATAATTGGAAATCAGGTGTAATTACTGATGCTGAACTTGTATTTAATTTATTTTGTATTTATTTTGATCGACGTCTTACACCAGATCCACGATTTTTAGATGGAAAAGTATTTCGTGGTAATTATGTTATACGACAAGCACAATTAACAAGTAAATATATATTTGAAAAGTCTTTTCTCAAAAGTTTTGAATAGAAGTCAGAAAGCTAATTTCGAAAGGCTTGATTTTCCGAAAATCCTCATTCAAACAGTTTTGTTAGGGTCTTCGGGTCTATCAATAAATCTTTTTAGCTATACAATTTTTTTCATCATATTTCACATTTTAATGCTGCAGAGATTATCCTAATAACTTTTTTTAGTTTTATTCTTCATGTATATAATTATTTTGTAGACATAGCTCGATATCCAATAGCTATATTTGTCTATCAAGAAAAACCACCAATTTATAAAGTTTTATCAAATGGTGAAATTCATGATGTACCAGCAGTAAGTGGCATTGTTCTTTTTTTTAATTAAATCAGTAGAATTTTAACTTTTTTTTTTTATTATAAGGGTGATCATAATTTACTTGATTGTCTTCTTCTATTTGTTGAATGTGTTAATTCAACTCGAAATAGACATCTTGGGTAAGTTGTGAAGCAAAAAAGAAATTTTTTTTTTTGTATTAACTATCTATTTTCTACTTTATAGGTCATTAAATTTAGGTGCTAGTGGTGTGGATATTTTATGGACTATTACTTCACCATCATTATCATAGACATAGATATGCATTAGATAAAAATTTTCTTGTTATATTTCAAAAAAAAAACAAAAAAAAAATAATTCAGATGTGCAGATATTTTTGTATACATCTCTTTGCTTTTGTTATTAAATTAATTTCTACTAGGTTTATTGGCATGAAGATTTATTCAATGAATCAAATTTAATAACAAAGAAAGATAAATCATGTTTGAAAATTGTTCTCTATTTTATTTTTACAAAAGAATTGATATAGTCTACATGTGTTTTATAACTCGTTCGAATGTGATGGAGTATTCTTTAAAAAAAAACTGTTATCAATGCTATACGATTTTCATGGATTGTTATAATCCAGGATACAAAAGTTCTTAGAATAATATTACTTCATTTAAAATACGTAAGAGTTCGGAGTTAGAGTCAAGGATTTGACTTTTAGAATCCTATATATCCAGACATGAAGGTCAAAAATGAAATCAGTTGATTCTCTCTTTGAAGAATACTTCAACCCGATTGGTTGTATACACTTCGAGAACTATTATGACGAGGGTACTCTTAATCGTGTTCATTCCATTTTATAGAATCTATCTTCTCTCTATCATATCTTTGATTGTCTATTGCAAAGTTTGAATCAAGTATAGAACTTTTCAAATTTTATCGTATCATTTCTTTAAAGTTAAGTTTTAATTATGTTATCGATCGAAAAACTCCTTTTCTTGTTATGTTCCTTTTGCTGCAATATAAGCTTCGTTAAAATTTTAAAATTAAAAATAAATATTGAGTTTAGAAAGTTTTTGTAGAACGAATGATGATTTTTCAAAATACAATGCTAAGATCAAATTTTCTTTTCTTTATCAAACAGTGTATTGTGTTTACACTTTGTATGTTTTGAGTTAATATCAATCGTTCAATTAATATTTTTGCAGTTTGAACACTTTGTTTGATATGAGCTTAAAAAGTGCTCTCGCGCATCATAAATTTGTTATATTTCACATATGTACTCTCCAGACTTTGATTCTTTAAACAAGACAACAATCCAAATTGATTCATTATTCTACTGGTAAGTAATATCTCAGATTTTGCAGTCATTATGTAATGTGTTTTCATAAAATGGCACTATTACAATTCTATAAAACTTGTATAGCTGCTCCGTCAATATTTTCACATTTAAAGCTTACTGCTATTTTGTGTATCTTTGTCTGTGAAGAATGAAACGATGAATATAATGAAGAGAAGATTAATAAAATACAATTGAATGCATAGGAAATAATTCGAAAATAGTGAGAGATTAGTTTCTTCTGCTGCAGTCATTTTAAGCCTTTTCCGAAGATTTTCTTAATACTTGAAAATAAAAAACATAATGGAAAGTTCAACAGAACTTTCAATATAGATTCTGAAAATATGTTCTTAATTTTTTTTGCGAATTTTTCCTTTAGCCAATGAAAAATAAAAAAAAAAACTTATTTAAACTATGAATCGTATTTAATTATTTCAACGATAAATAGGCGAAATCACGGTAAGAATGAAGATTAGCTCATTAGCATAATAATTTTCTCCTATAATCATTCAAATATATTAACAAATAATGCCAATAAATTTCGAATAGATAATTCTAAATAGAATCACCCCATAAGCTATTTGCTTATCCATTAGTACTGTATTCACGTATAATATTGATTTTTTTTTCCTTGTTTTATCTCTTCAGATTATGTGTAATAAAACAATAAAGATTAAACAATGTTGACACAATAAAAAGTACGGATGTAAATAATGCTCTAGAAATTTCTTTTTTTTCCGAATTCTATCTATCAAATTGACAATGCTAAACACATTCTCTTGTCTTACTGTTCACAGTCGAGAAAAAAAAATAGGAAGGAAGAATCAACATCCTTTGTTAATCTTAACACAAAATAATAGAAAAGATAAGAAATAAATTAGTGTATACAAAAATCATCTTTTATTTTTTTTTTTCTTATGTTCAGATTAAATAGACACAAGCATCTTCATATACTTTAAATCAAAAGATTAAAGAAATGGTACGTATTGTTCTAGAAAAAAATTTCTTATTATTTTTTTATAAATTGTGTTGAATTTTTCTTAATCTAGGATTTTGAAACAGTTCGCAATCATTATGGTAGTGTGATTGTTCTTATTACATTTTTAAGTCGAATTATATTTGTTGGATTTTGTTGGAGTTATGGAACAGTAATTGTTCATTTTAAAAAAGAATATCCAATGATATCAGATACAGAATTAAGTTTGTATTTATTACAAAAATTTTATTTTAATAGACGAAAACAAAAAAAAAAAAAACAATTTCATTTAGGTTGGATTGGTAGTATTGGTCAAAGTTTTGGTGGTCTTCTTGCTCCAGTAATATTTTTTTTAGTTCGTCGATATGGATATCAAATACCATTTATTTTTTCACTTGTTACATGTATTATTTCATTATTAATATCATCAATTGTTCATAATATTCATTGGTTATTAATAACTTATTCATTTCCATATGGTTTTGCTAATTCAGTTATTTTCATTCTTGGTACATTAATTTGTGGTCTTTATTATCCTATAAGTCAATATTCAAAACATATTCTTGTTATGTGTATTATTTCAACAGGTTTTCCAATGGGTTATCATATAATGAGTGCTTTAATATTTTCATCAATTGAACGTTATGGATGGCAATCAATGAAAAGACATATTGCTCTATTAGAATTACTTGCTAGTTGTATACTTGGTCCAATATTTACTGCGAAATATATACCAAATACAACATCAGAACATTATCGTACAACAATAACAGTTACACAAAATAATAATAATAATCGAAAAATTTATTTTTCATTACCAATTATTATTTGGATGTTAGGAATATTTACAACAGTATCTGCAATCAACAATTTTCTTCTTCATTTAGTAGGTTTTTATTTCAGTTTTTGTGAAACATGACTTAGAATGTATGTTGAAGTATTGCGATCAAAATTTGAACCTCCCAAAGATTATATATCAGTAACATATAATACAAAAGTAATGAGACAAAATGTTGGCCTCTATTTCTTTTTCAAACTGTATATAACTTGATTTTATTCTAAAAAAAAACCTTCGACATATGTGATGTGATGGACAATTTTTGCGACATTTCACTTATGAACATTTGATAAAACTAAAATGTGTCCCAAAATTAATAAAATAAAATAATTTCCCATTGATTAGCAAGAGTAGTTTACATCGTGTTTCACATTTTAAAACTTGCAGAGAGTGTAGTAATAGTTTTTTTTTTTATATATATAAACTTATTATTATAGCATATGTATTTGGAATATTTTGCTATTCCTCCAGCTCGTGCTGATCTTTGGTTTCGTTTACATGGTCTATTTGATGCATTATTTCGTCTTTTAATTCCAATATTTATTCATTTCTATCCAATGAATATTATTTATCTTTTTCCAATATGTGTTTTTACTGGTTTAATTTTCTTATTATTAATATTTGGTCTACTCTATACAAGTATAAATGCATTAGCAGTTCTACCAATTATTTGTAAGTTTATTTAGGAAAATTTTCATTAGTTCTTCAATGAATTTGTTTTGTGTTTTTTTTTTGATATATTTCTAAATAGTATTTGGTTTTACATCAGCTGTTACTACATCACTTCAATATACAGTTTCGAATCAATTATTCGAAAGTGATCAAACAGAACAAGGTTATATCTATCATGTAATTATTACAAGTCTTGGTTTAATTTTTGGTCCAGTAGTTGGAGGTACGAGTATATACATGTTGGAGTTGACTTTTAATTGTAGAAACATAAAATTGTTATGTACTAAATATTTTTCAATTGTTGAAAAGTTTTCTATGTAAACTTAATCATGATTTGTGGGTATGGATATTACTCTGACCATCACCGAATGTTCGTATTCGAATTAAAGAGGAGTGGATGTAAACTCCAAAACTTGACCAACTAGAGATCTGAGGATTTCAGCAATCGAATGAAGAAAATTTCGGACATCTTTTTTTTGTCTGATACTATATAAGACAAAATTAATTTAAAACTCATTTATTTTCACATGTGCTTCAGATCTATAGTTCAAGGCACGATTCTTCTCACATTTGAATGCATATGTTTATGAATTTTTGTGTAAAGATGATTGGTTTTCAAATGACCTTGTCTTATATAATATCAGACAAAAAAAAACATCCGGAGTTCTCCTCTTTCGATTTCTGAAAATCGCAGATCGCTAACTGCTACCGTTGTAGATTATACCGATCACTCTTTAATTCTGATGGGGGAGTGTACTGAAACTGAAGAGTTGTTGACAAAGATGAGGTTTATTCTCTTGCAAGAAATCCCGAGATTGCGAACAGCTCAGGTTGGTGCATACAATTGAACAGATCGATTATGCTGAAAAAAAAAGTCCAAGTCTTAACACAGAGTCTAATTAAATCCATCTAGAAAATTTTTTTACTAGTTGAAAAATATCAACTACGACATATATATTGGTTTGATATGCATGAGAAATAAAAATATTTTCTTTTATTTTAGGTATATTTTTAGATAGAACAAGAAGTTATAAATCGATCATTCTAACATCAATAGTTTTTCTTTGGATTAGTTTTATTTCATTTGGTATTACGATTTTATTATCGAATAAGAAGAAGAAGAATAATAATGAATCAGAACAGAATCAAATTTCTACTTTATAATATTTTTTTTTGTAATTATTAATTATGATTAGACAATGATGCATTTGGTAATTGTTTAACACCTGTATCTACACTAAAATTGACTTGAATGGGTATTGCAGTAGAATTAGCTGTTGGACAAGGACATGATTCAATTGTCTTTGATGATGACTTTCCACCACATAAACAATTACAATCTAATCCATATCGTGGTTTTGATATATCTTTTACAAGTTGTTTAAAATGAGATTGATCAATATTACATGTTATCGATGGAGTATAACGTTGACGAATACCACAACATGTACAATCACAATCGAGAAAATGAAGTTTAAATTGTTCATCTTTTTGTTCACATGACATTTTCTTTTTTTTTTTTGATGTTAGATAATTAAAATATATAAAAAGATGCAAAATAAGATTAAAATATTTGTATATATGCGCGCTAGAAAATGAAAAATTTTAGATTTTTTAATAAAATTCAATAATTTCACTTTGCAAATTTTGGCAAAATCTTTTCAATTATTATTTTGTGTCATTAACTAACAATAAATTTGAATGTATTCATTTTAAATTAATTATTATAGATTAATTTAAAAAGTCTGGTCAATTAAAAAATTTTATTTCGTTTACAAATAGCAAGAAGAATAATATCAATACCAATATCGTTTATCTTTTAAAATATTTGTGCATATGAAGATGTTCGATTTTTTTATGAAAAATTTTCAAATTTTTAATTTGTAACTATCTGTTATTGAAAAAAAAACAAAAGATCAAAAATTCACACTATAAAGTATAATAAACATTATCCTGAGATGGTTGTTGATAGTAGGTGTAATGTTGTTGTTGTTGTTGTTGTTGTTGTTGCTGCTGCTGTTGTTGCTGACGAAATTGTTGTTGTTGCTGATGAAATTGTTGCTGTTGTTGATGAAGTTGTTGTTGTTGTTGTTGTTGTTGAAGAAGTTGTTGTTGATACTGTTGCTGTTGTTGTTGATGAACATCTGCTACAAATCGTCTAATTTGTTCTTCGTTCATAACATATTGTTGTCCATTCATTGTAACAAGATAAAGTTGTTTTTTATCATCCAAAGTAGAACCATTAGTTGAAGTTTCATTCGATGGTAAATTATATCCATTGGCAGCAAGTTTTTTTGCATCTTCATTATCGAGTACTTCAATTAAAATTCCTTGAGCAACCATTGTTTGATAATATTGATGAATAAATTGAGGATATGAATGTTGACGTGGATGATAAAATTGTTGTTGAGTCATATTTGGATGAACATGATGATGAGTATATATGAAACCATTAGGATATGCTTGTTGTTGTTGATGATAATAAGCAGCAGCGGCAGCAGCAGCAGAAGCAGGCATTGTATAAATTGTTTGACGAGTGCCAGAATTGTTATAGATGAATGATTGAGAACGATTTTGATGATTTTCATATGCTTTATCTGATTCTTGCTTACGAGGTAATGGTGGATCATCAGGTTCTTCAACAATTGGTTTTGCTGATGTTGTAGAGCTTGTGCAACTGTTATGATCTTCTGTATCTGAACCAACTTCAACAATTCGAGGATTTTGACGGTCTGAATCATTTTTTATCGAATCTTGATTAGTGCGACCAGGATTGAATTTATTTGGTTCTATTTTATATTGTTGATAACAAGTCAAGGAAATAATTTGCAAGGTCAATTAGGAAAAACAAAAAAACTTACTAATGATTCGTTGCAGCGCATAGTAAAGTATTTCTCCTCCATCTGGTGAACGTCTAAGAAAATCATGTTTTGTCAAGAGTACTAATGCTTGACCTAAATAAAATGTAGTTATTCAATTCTAGTAAATATACGTTAGAGTACTTTACCATTCATTTGAAATTTTGCAGTTGTTGCTTTCTTTAGTTCGAATTTTTGACATTGTTCTTCAATCCAATGTTGTACTTGAGTTGATGACCACTGCGTCACATCTCTATCGTTAAGATCCGAAGACAATAGTTCTACGTCATCAGAAGATGACGAATTTGTTATAGATTCTTGATTATTATTGTCTATCCCCATAGTTGCAGATGGAACAGTTGTTGTCGTTGTTTCTATGCTACCAATTTCCTTAGAAGGTGCAACATCAACTCGATGATGAATTTGCGGTATATATTGATAATAGCCTGTAACAGGTACTGCTTTTAATCGATGACTAATCATCGTATTATAAGAATGAAGGAACAAGTAAATAGCAATGTATGAGATATTGTAAATGTATATGCAAAAAGATAGAAAAAGCAATAATAAGAATGACGAAACTATGTACAGAATAGCGACACGAATAAGTGAGCAAGCACGAATATGTATTCATTTTTTTCTCACGGTCTTTATTGCACTTACTTAAATGATTGATCGAACGAAAAGCCTAGTGATACGAGACAACCAATCTTTTTATCATTTGTTTTGCTTTCGTAACAATAATGATATATACTAAAATGTTCAAATAGGGAGCAAAAATATATATAGATCAATTTACAATGAAATTTATAAATTAAAATTAAATAAACTATATGATATTATGAATCTATTGTATCTATTGTCATTTATCTTCTCTTTTTTTTTTTTTTTGTTTGATTTTTTCTTCTAATATAAATCAAGGGAATCATTCAACCATAACTGTGACGTACGGGTGTATACCCAAATGATTCGTTATTTCACTCAATTATATACATGTCGTCTATTAATGTATACATAGACGATAAAAATTTTTTATCATATCTTCTATTTATTAGTGCATACTATTTTTAAAAATCTTATTAGAATATTAAATTAAGTTTGATTGTTTTTCTTTTTTTATTAATGTCAACAACAAAAAAAAAGAAAAAAAAATTCATTTAACACTATTTTACTTTCAATCAAATAATAGTTTTGTTATGCATAATAAATCATCATTTTAACGAGCTATTGTGCAAACAGACAAGAGAGGACATTTATGATCTTTTGAACAATATGAAGGTAAAGCAAATATACTTGGATCAATAGAACCTTTTTTAAAACTAGTTACATCAAATATCATTAAATCATTTGGTTGTTGATCAATTATATAAGGTATTTGAGTAGCATCAACTTGCCAATAGAAATTATCTTGAAGACCTTTCTTATCCCAAACTTGATATTTAACTGGAGTTGTTGTATTATATCCTATAAATGTTGCATCTGATAACCAATCAGGTTTCAACATACCACAACCATCTTCTGCTGTACAACACATACAACATGAATTTAATTTTGGAAAAACAAGATATCGAAGACCATTAACAACAAGATGAGTACATGGAGTATCTTGAAAATATTTTACTGAACTACAATAACGATCATATTTGCCTGTTGTACGATCAATACGACTATTAAACAAAATAAAAATGTAATAATAATAATAAAAATATAAATTTATTTTAAACTGACACAGATTTTTGTTCATAATCATAATAATAAGTTCCTTGAATATTCGAACTTGTTCCAACTACTGGTAGAGTACTTGTTTCATTAAATGTTTCTTGAAAAGCAACTGGCCAAACTGGTGGTGTTGGATCAGCTATTTGGTAATACAAATAAATCAATAAGAAAATTGAAAAATAACAATAATAAAATATATATATAATTACCAGCAATGAATAGACTATAATCACTATTCAAAATTGCAATGATCAATAGAAAAATCACTTGATAACCATACATTTTACAATATCTATTAGTCTCGTAAAAAAATGACTTATATTCATGATTGAATATATATTTTTATAGTGAAATTAAATAGAAGGACAAAATGATTGAGAAAAGAATCCAGCTGCTACTTTCTTAAATATCATATGCTTATATTCTCAGATGATCTGGATAAAATACATGAAAATGATAGTAATGGGAAAAAAAAACCAACTTTGTCATGATGATCATATCATACATGAGGTTTTCATACATCAAATTTTATTACATAAATTCTGAAATAAAGAAAATTTAAGTTCATTAAGATTATTTTTATTTCAGCAGAATAACATATTTCAATAATTTATTCTGATATAAGGATGATATTTTAATCTAAGACGTAAGAAATTACTATGAAAGAAAAAAAAAACAATTTCTACAATAGCGGAAGATGAACATAAATTAACTAAATTCAACGACTAGTCTAAGTTTTCGAACATTTTCAGTTAGATCTTTATGATTCATTTGATCTAAAAATAATCAATGAATGATTGACTGTATTTTTGTTAATGACATGCTTTCGAATAAATAAATGTATAGACTGAAAGAATATTATATTAATTTGTCACGTGCATTACATACCGATTTCTTCTTACTATTAATAACTTGTTTTTTTACAAAGCAGAACAAAAAGTGAAAACTTGCATTACGTAGCACAAAGAATGAAAAAATTACAATAAAATTTTTTTCGACATCAAACGAAGTTTAGAATATATTTTCTATTCGATAAGAGAAAGTTTGAAATAAAGCGCAAGGTCATTAAACAACTCGAACTATCATTCAACTCGAAGAGACGATCAATCGAAAAATCTGTAAATTCTCCATTTATGAATGTTAGACGACGGCTTTTCTCCTCTTCATTTTGTAATCACGAAACATACACATATATATAACCACTAACTACATACAGACCAAAGAGATGAGAAGAAACACGTGTATATATACTAGTATGTAGATCAAGGGAAAGAAAGAGAAAACGAATACAAGAACAAAGGATGATATCACAGTACAAAGGAAAAAGATATGTAATCATAACAGCAAAGAGTGAAATCATGTGAGAGAATATATAACGACAGAACAAGAAGAAAAGACCTGGATAAGTGAAATAAAATGGAAAGATGTGGAGGGCAAGCCTGTAACAATAAGGTCCAACGTCAAGTGATTTTCTTTAGAAATTCCTTGATAAAACTATCAAATATTATTTTCATGGGATCCACTTCAGGCTACTCTAACATAGGCTTGAAGTTTATTCATTGAATTAAAATTCGATTCTGTTATCAAAGAGTTTTTAAAGAAAACAGGCGGATGTGAAGTCTCATGATTGAAACATCTGAAGATCTATCGATTATTAATCTCTTTAAGTTAAACAGTTGTTAGAGTGGATTCGAGTGAGCTGGAGCATATGTTATTACTTAGAGAACTGACTGATAGGAAACTAGACAACCCATTTTAAAAAAAGAAAAAGGAAAAAAATTTGATTTTAATCGTGCTATTCGATTTATGATTGATTTGAATAAGGATGGCCCTAAGATATATTTCTTTCGAGTTTTAGTGTAGCAATGGAAATTTTTTGAATAGTTTTTCGAACTTCACGGCTCAATAAATAGTATGTAATGCTGACAAAACGTGTTAAAATCAATTAGACTTTTATGTAGCTAATAAAGAGAGCATCATCCACGAGACCATCACCCAAGAAAATTGCTGAAAAATTTTATATTTTGAAAGAGCATAAAAAGTTACTCAGAAATCCAAATTTTGAACAATGTCTTCGGATACTTCGGTCATCTAATAGTTTTCATTCAAAATCTCTGTTTGTCAAAAGCTATGGTTTTTCGATCATTTTTGTTTATGAATTTTTTCCTCATAAAAATTTAACCAAATCCATTATCAAATTATACCAATCGATAGAGCAAAAGCTGTTCTACAAAACTCTATATTTCATATACTCCATTACGTATCTCGTAAACCGAAAAGATCCATTATAATAGGTGAACAATGTTTTTGAACGATCTTGATTTAAATAAATACAGTTTTTTTTTCTTTCAGAGTAAATTGTAGAAAGTCAAAAACAAATTTCTATTGAAACTCGAGACTTCACTTGTCATATAGAAATTATCTGTTAAATATTCTCTCGAGATCTGTTCTCATTTTCTAACTTGAAAAGAAATATTCATCAAAAACCTCTTGAGATCTTTGTCATATGAAATAAAGACAATGTTCAATTGATCTTTGACTTTATTATTGACTTCTTGGAAAATTTCAGCTAATTTTCGCATGGTGATTATCAATGAATTGTGGAGCAGAATCAAGAGATGTTTTTTTTTAATTGATTAATAATGAAGTGTGGCAGTTGTCCCATTAAGCAGATCAATTGATATTGCACTTGATTAATTGCCAGATTCATTGTGTTGAAGGTGCATCAGTCTAATCAACCAGTCGATTAGTTATGTCTACGTCCTAATCATCACGATACTGATATAACAGTTCTTTATTTTAATGATTTTTATAATTTATTTTTTTTGACTTCTTGGTATTTATTGATGAAAGGAATAACTATGAAAGTTTCTGAATGAATATATTAAGTCGCTTGTGCACAACTAAATGGGTGATGGTGTATTTAATAACATATTACTCGTATTGAAATTCTAATGATCATACAAAGGATGTTTTGGATGGTTACAGATAGTATGCTGGGATTAGTCTACAAAAACTACAGGTGCTATATCTAAATAGCACTTAGAAATTTGCATGTACGATGTCCAGAAGGTAAGGAGCTGCGGATTCATGTTTTTGTAGATCGGACTCGGACCCGAATAAAGTTTAAAATTTGGACCTGGATCCGATCGAGTTCGGATCCAAATCCGAGGTTTTTTTCATCAACACCTGACACCCTTCGTGTACATGCACAAGTAAAGAATCAAGGTTTTAGCTATTTATTTGCTACTCTCAGAAAAAAACTCAACGTACAGTTATATCTTGTTGCTGTATTTCTCATCTGGGGAGCAGCGGGTCGACAAAAGCGTGTAATTGGGCCTAACAAAAAATAAAAAGTTGGATCCGGACCTGGAAGGATATGCAGCTCTCTACCAAAAGGCTTTCAAAAAGTTACAATTCTCATAAACGATTGAATCGTGGCCAAAACTCAATTAAATAAATCGATTTTTTCCATATAGCAATACCAATCAAATTGCTTAATTTAGTTTTAATTCATTCTTCATGTAGCGTGCGTAGCAAGGCCTACGTTATATTAAAATGTTATAGATGTCACTGGTAATCTGTTCTTCTGATGATCACCTTTTCCCTGGTCAATGATATAACTACTGCACATTCGATGGCGGTATGTTTGTATGCTTTAAATTTTAACACCTGTTAGTGAATTTTGTACACGTCAATTTGTTCTTTCATTCGTAATAGAAACGATGACAACAACAATGAATCTATTTGGTTCAATAATACCAAATTTAAATACAATATTTTTAATTGATACAAGTGGTTCAATGTATTCATGTTTAACTACTGTTCGTGAACATCTTTCATCATATTTACGTGTACATGCTGTTGATATACCAAATCCACATCAAACATTATTATTTAATTTAATAGAATTCAATTCTGATGTACGTCGATGGGCTGATCGATGTGTTTTTTGGTCACATGCATCAGTAGTTGTTGCTGATGATTGGCTTCGTTCTTTAGTACCTAAAACAGGTACAAATACATTAGGTGGTTTATTAACTGCTTTTTCTGATTCATTATGTCAACAAGTTGTACTTATAACTGATGGTATACCTGATCAAGAACCAAAAGTTATTTTACATTTTCTTCAACAAAAACAACAAGAAAAACGACCATGTCATATATTTTATATTAATACACCATTAAATACTGAACATGAACAAGAAACTGTTGTTAAATTTCTACAAGATTTAGCATCATTAACATATGGTTCACTAACAATAGCACATTTTTCACGTACAGGCATATTAGAAGGTCTTGCACCTATGATTAATTATCAAATAGAAAATGCTACTAAACCATTATTAGTTGCTGATACATCATTATCAGGAGGAATCACTGGACCACCAATGGAAACAACTGTTTCATCTGAAATTGGTGCACTTTTAATTGGACAAGAATGTTTAGCAAGAAAAGATAAAGATGGTTATTATTATCGTGGTAAAATTCTTAATCAGGTAAAAAAAAAAATAATAAATTATTATTCAAATTTAATAATTATTAATTTAATTTCTATAGTTAAATATCAATCAATTTATGGTTGAATTTGGACCACGAGCTACTGGTGCTTTCAGTGAATCTGATTTTCAACCAACATATTTATTTGATATCATACATTATACTGATGCATTAATGCATAAAATTCACACAGGAGATTTTGTTCTTGCACCTGATGGACAACAAGGTCGATTTGTACCTGGAGAAGTACTTGATGGTTTTGAAAAACGTGCTTCATGTGAAAGTAATTAGATTGTGATATTTTTGTTTTTGTGAAACACGATCTAAAAGAAGTGTTGAAGTATAGAGATGAACCCTTTCCTATCCGAATCCAGCAGAGTAAAATTTCACATAAAGACCGATTTCTTCTAAATTAGAAAGATATTAAGAGTGTCTTCGAAGTTATTTGCCAAAAGCTCTTAGCAGTATAAGCAACGCTCTAAACATTTTTTGTACCATCCTTATCTTAACTCTACTTTGCCTATCAAGGGCGTGACAGACATTGTTGATATACACAATCACAGACCGTATATCATACGACATCTCGTTATAATACAAGATGGGACATAAATAGTACTACGATAAAAAAAAATTGAAATATCTCGACTTCGATTCGCTCAAGTGAGCTGATTTTGTAAGCTTATTTAAAGTTATTTTTTCATACGGATAATATAAACAAATACTACTATCAGATTATACTTTTAATCTTAATAAAGAAATTATACCTATTTTTAAGCAAGATATGGTTACAAGTAATTCTCGATGGGACTAAGACAAGCTTAGAAAGATTCGAACCCATGGCCATGTGATAAAGAGTTATGACCGTTTAAAATGAATTATTATTCAGAGTAAGGCATGTCCGAAAAATTCCAAACAAAAAATTTCAACCTAAAATTTTATCTATAGACACATTTGAGAGTCCTGAAAAACGAACATATTTTTCCCTATGTATTCGATTTCTCAGTAGACCCGATTGTTGTGTTCTCTTACTGTAAACCGCTGCTTTTTTGGATATTCAATATCTCAAGAAAGACATGTTCATTTTCGTTAAAATTTTCAGGACTATCAAATGTGTTTATAGGTAAAATTTCAGATTGAAACTCATTGTTTTGGATTTTCCGAAAACGTCTTGCTCTCAGCAAAAACAGTCGTAATTCTTTACCAGTAAGCTATGGGCTCGAATCTTTTTAACCTTACGTTAGTCTCACGGAGGCCTATGCATCGCCATGATATGAAGTCGAATGGCGTTCGACAGTTGGATATGTTCCCTCGTTAGATGACAACTGAAAATCATCTATGAAACGTTACACATGTGTATTTTTCTTACTTAATGATACCAACAATAATACTTGATAATAGTAATTTCTTACCTTATCCGCATGAAAGAATAAATATTGAATAAATTTCTAGTGCTAACCAAAAAATCAGCTCATTTGTCTGAACGTACACAGAGCGTAAGAAATTTTTCTCAAAATAAAAAAAATAAAATCAATCTTCTTGTGATTAGTAATAGCAACTAGATCGTATTTTACGTTTTAATCCCGCCGGGATTGTGCTAACATCTTTTTAATCACATATCTAAAATTTTAGGTGGAGAAATTCGTCCATTAGTTATTCATTTTGCTAATGGAAAAACTGCGACAGTTAAACGATTACAAGAAGCTATTTGGATTCCACCTGCTTTGTAAATAAAAAATTTCAAAATTTCTTTTTTTTTTAAACTTTTTTTAAATTTTTATTTAAAGATATGAACGTATTAAATTTGAATTAACAATTCCACCAAGTGCACGACAATTTCTTCAAACACATTCAGTTGCTTATCCAGCGATACTTTTACCCGGTTATCCAATGCCTGCACCTATTCCAGTAGCTTCGGATAATGGGCCATTTTTTATTCCAAATCAACAACAACAACAAACAATATCACCCATTGTACTTGCTCCTCAACAAAGAGCACCAGCAACTGTTAATAGTTATGAAGTTAATAATCTTATTATGTCTTCACAACAAAAACCACAAAGTTTAATGACAAGTGATGAACTCAATCGAAAAGTTGATCAACAAATTCAACAACATTGGCTCTTACTTGGTGAACGAAAACCTTCTGCATCTCTCATTTCACCACGTTCTACTTCATTAACTACAATACCACCATCTCATCCTCATCATCCTCATCATCTTCATCATCATCATCATCAACATTCATATTCAGCTAATTCTTCACCAAATCCATCTGAAATAAGAAAAAAAACTGTATGTTTTAATGACACAACCCCTAATCGACAATATTCTGTTGATGATCTTGATATAACTCGACAATCAATTCCATTGAAATCTTGTCTTAAATCATCAATAAAAGATGAAAAACAAACATCATATGATATCATTCATAATGTTCAAACACAAACAATACCAACAAATCAAAAAATAAGACCAACAAGTGCTGTTACATCCAATGATGCCTATCGATCATCATCAATACCTGGTTCAGTTGAACATTGGCATACAAGACAACTTAAATCAGCACCTAGTAATAAAAAAAAACAAGGCTAAAATTTAGATTTTTTTATTTAAATTAAATAAATAATATATTACTAGTTCCGTCTACATCAAATGTTCAATCACCGACAATGCATGAACCACGTCGACAAAATTTAAGTCATCTCTATGAAAAAGTATATGAAGAATAGTTTGTTTTCTTTTTTTTTTTTTATCAATGAAAAATATTTATTTTAAAATAGGCTCAACAAGAAGTTAAACAAGAACTTCAACAACAACAAATTCAACGTGAACAATATAAACGACAACAAGCAAACGAACAATCACAACGTATACAAAATCGTCAACAACAAGAAATAGATAAATCTGAACGAATAATCAATACTAAACGACAATATCGTAATCAAGTATTACATCAAAATTATCAAAGGTTATTTTAATTATTATTTATTATTAATATTTCTTTAAAACAAAATTTATTCATTAATAGAACACAAGCAGTCGAAAATCAAGATCATGAACGATTACGTTTTAAACAAAATCAATATGCTCAACGAAGTTCGGATCGTATACAAACACGTCGTTTAAATGAACAGAAAACTGCTGAACTTGCAGTATGTCTATTAGAGATTAACAAAACTAAGCACACGTCTTTCAAAAGAAAAAGTCAATTTTTGTCAGAAAAATCTTTTTGCCCAAACTTCTAATGATTTTCGTCATCGATCAATATGCTCTCCGTTGAAATTCGATAATTTACATTTCTGTGATATTCTAAGATGACATCAGCAGTATACATATGATAAATATTTAGAAAGA